TTTGTTCACGAACTTGGCTCAGTGCACTGCTGACCTCTTTTCAATAGGGGCCAGATTAGCATGCAGCGGTGCTGTGTGGCTCATGGCTGCGGTGGTGGAGCGCTTTTGTCCCCGGTGGTAATCGCTCTCAATGCCCCAAACCCTGGTATACGGTTTCGAAAGAAGGCTGGATTATGACTACTTTTGAGAGTGAAAAATGGCGGTAATGCCCAGCAGCCTGGTCTTTTGTTCGGAGTACGGTCTTTCGTTACAGGGCCCTGTTTCCTTTGTCCGAGTTCGGAGACCCCGGCCGCCCATATAAACCATACGTCTCCGATCCCGGAGTCCCCCCGGCACGAAGTGGTTAAACTCTTCAATACGGCTCCAGCGTTCCAATTCAGAAATGATCAACTCGGCTGCCTCTGACAGTTTCCACGCTTACCTCCTTTTCCCGTCTGCTTTCTCTCTCCTCTACACCTTTGCTGTCCCTCCCTCCCTGTCTGCTCTCGCTGAACCTTCCGCTTAACTTCCTGTCATTCCTGTAACCCCTCGACTCCCCCCTCCCGTCCCCTCGTAGGTGATACACCGTCGCTTCTACTCTAACCCCGCCAAAGACTCTCCCCAGAAGGTTTGTAAGTCGCTCCCACCTCTTCGTTACTAGTCTTTTCGTCTAAACACCGTGCTATCTTTAAGCAGTTTGCTGTGCTTGTCAGAGAAACTGTCCTTGTTTTAATTCTCGCACGCAATTTCTGTTCGCCTGATTTCAAATTGCTTTAGGGCACGTTCCTTCCCCTCACACGCCTTAACAGAGCATCTTGGGGTCGTTCGTTTATTTTCCACCTGCTTGCCCATAATAATCTTACATCTGATATGAAACTGGTACATTTTTAAAAACTTAGATTTCGACCCTGAAATTGATGTTTTATTTTCCCCATTGGAGTGAGCTTGTGTGTGAAAGAAGTTACTGACCGTCCCTTTCTTGACTGGCTCCGAGTTGCACAATGTTTGATTGGATGGTTTGCTTTTGGTCAGCAAGCATGTGACCGGTAACGCTCAGTTTGATTGGTCGGTGTGGTGGTTTGAGAAACTCACCTGTCTCATTATCAAAAGGATTGAGTTTGTGAGTTTTTTTGTAATCACTGTTTAGAGACTTGCAACAGCATTGCATCTTGGTGTAGCGAAAAAGCAACAGGTCTAACTCAGTGCTCAGTTTGGGGTTTTTGCCTTGTTGCCATTGACAGACCTTTTAATGTTCAGATCAGAAGAAAAGATTTCCAGTTTTGGCTTCTTATTGTATAGTTTTGTGTTCCTGTGATGAAAACCTGGCCCGTGTTGAAATCTTCAAAGTCAGTCAGCCATGTCAAAATCAACTGGCTGCAGCTAGGCGTAGCATGCATGTCTATGGGCAGAAGCTGCAGTTAGTAGCTAGTGGCTCAAACGGGCATACATGCCGTTGTCGGCCAATGTTTGAGCCCACAGCCAGAGTCATAGACAAAGCCAAGCTCCACCCAAAATGGCTATGCACCTGAAGGTTTTATGCTGTATCAGTATGCAGACTATTCTGTTTGCCTGCCGCCCTCGACGTTGGCATGCTAAATCAGGGTGCTCAGGCATCACAGCGCCCTCAATGATCCATGCACGTAGCTTATGGAGAAGAGCGATCCCCTTTGTCATACACGCACACTCCCAGTTCTCATCGCCCCAATCTTCCCTGCTCTCTCCACCTCCCGTCTTCTGCAGGTGATCGAACGGCGGTTCTTCTCCAGGGATTCTAGCCAGGTGTGTGCACCACCCTTCCACCCGTGGTGACCCCCCTAAGCCCCCCTCCGTCTGGTCACCTCCACCACCACCCTCCCGTTGTCGTAAGTGGTGATGCTGATGATCGCACGTGACCCATCCATCACCCTCTGGCATGCTGCCATCTGCCCCACCCCTCCCCCTTTGTCTTATTAATTGAATAAAAGGATTCTACGTAATGCCACTTAAGTGGCACCCCATGGCTCATGTGAACAGGAACGTATCTCGCTTACAGGAAATAAAGGGTGCACTCCCCTCCTCAAGAAAATTCGGACATCTATGATACGGTGTTTTGATTCAAAGTTGAAGCATTCCAGTGTTAAAGCTATGCCAGTTGGGCTGGTCGGCGCCAGTCGGGGACCTTCACCCCAGCATTCTGCTGTCCGTCACGAAGCTTGATGAAAGAGCCCACCGACGGGCACAAAAATCCTTAAAAATCCCAGAAAAAACAGTAGTCACCATGAAAATTTCATGCTTTTACCTGGAAGAAGTTTTTAAAAATTGGAACTCATAATCAATTTGGGAAGAAAAACTCACTGAAAAAGTGATCTAGCGTACCCTTAAGTAGGTCCCTGGGCCCCCAGCCATAACCTGCGAGACTCCGGTCGCTTCATTCCTTCCATTCGCCATTACTGAATTGTCCCAGCACTAAAACATGGCTGGCTGTAACACTGAAGCATTCCCCCCCCCATCCATTACTCGATAAAGATGTCGGATATGTAAGGAATTGATAGGGCCGGGATTACTTCTTGATCTTACCACTAACTGTTTGAGGAATTTGATAGAATTTCTTCCTGTCTCTTTTTTTTTTTTTGGTTCCCGGCTTCAGCAGCCTGTGGGCAGTCCCGCGGAGAAACGACGATCGTACACCCCGCAGTACATGAAGAGCCTGCACGCCGACTGAACACAGGCAACACCCCCCTCCCCCAGCCCAGTGACGGGATCGGGAAGGTGAGCAGCACTTTCCCCGTTGAGGGCGCTCTCATTTAAAGGGCCATCCCAGTCACTAGGTCGCCAACGGGGTTCGGGAACCAGTGCTTGTCAGCTGGCCTGGCGTCAGATCAACTCTCGTCCCCTGTGTGGCAACATAGCATGCCCTGTCCAGTACAGCACCTTCACGATGGACACTTCCATAATTCATCTACCTTAGGCTTTCTCAATGATGATAAAAGTAGCTACATCAATCAACGTGATTTGGATGGCCCTTTGAATGGGCCAACCGGATGTTACACATTGATCTGATTATTTGAACCTGGAAATTCCTTGTGAGCCAGACTTGATGAAGCTTGCATCCACAATGTATATTTCAATATTTGAAACCAGCGACTCTACGGAGAAATCCTTCTCGCAAAAACAGCGCGAGGGCAAAGTGCACGGGAAATGTGGAATAATTTAGAAATTTGAACAGCGGATTTGTGGTCACAAGAGACAGTGGTATATTCTAGTATTCTGCTCGTTGCCTGAGCCCCTCAGAGTATTCAATCAACTCTCAGCATTAAATTGTTTGGATACCGTGCCCTAATGCAGGGTGGAATGTGCGGCCGCCGAAAACTACCCAAAAAAAGTGACATCTATTTGAATTCTTGGAGTAGAGACAGACTGAGAAAAGTTAACAGAGCAATAACAGGACAATCAGAATCCCCTGTCAGTGTTGATCTACAGAGGGCGCTCTTTGTCTTCAATAGTAACTTGAGAGGTGCCGGTACAGTTACTGATAGCTGTGGCAGTAGGATTGTTGCATTGAGTTGCAACAGAGGGCGCCATTCAGTGTTGCCAGCCATTCTAACAATTGCAAGTTGTACGAGTGGAGAGGAGACAGACACGAACATTACGTTAATTATATTATCCGTGTCAATGTGAAACAAGAATTGTCATGAAGAAATTTTAAAATGGGAATGGATATCTAATTGGGCCTCGAAACTATGTAGCGTGTTAGTGGCGAGCCACGACAGTGTCAAAAGCCCCGTCTCTCTTTTTGTTTTCTTTTTTTTTTTTTGGTGCTTATGTAACCATATTTCATTGTAAAATGCAGACAAGAATATATTTTTCTCCGAGTGAAAAATCTCACCGTTTTTGTCATATCTGTTTTTATAAATGGTTTTGTCCATCAACATGCATCATTTTTGTGGAGAGAGTAGGACTGAGCGCATGCAGTTACCGTTATAAGGAGTCTGAGCCAAGGGGGTGATCGATTTCTTGTTTGCCAAAGTCCAAAGGTGCACAGCCCGCGGCAATCATGCCCTCAAAATTAACCACTTTTTTTTTTCATTTTTCTCGAACGGGGATGCAAAGTCCTCCCCGTCGGTGAGGAGGGGACGAAAACAGTGTTGCCATGGTAATGTCATCCTCACGGCCGCAAGAGATAATGGCGCTGCTCTCACGGGGGCTCGCGGATGGAATAATAACTGTCCGTGGGTTTGCTGGGAATTTAAAAAAGTCCTGCCAACCTTTCTTCGACCCTTGCAGGATTGTCATTATGATAAAAATATTCATGTACCGTAATTCCGGAACTCAAAATCCCCATATCTCATTTCCCAATTAAGGGTATTAGAGAGTTGAGGAATATTTGCATTGAGGAAACAGTTGATCCTGATAAGTGACTGATTATTTTTCAGGTGAGCGCGTCTCAAATGTATTTTGATAGCAGAGAAAGACATGCATGAGTTGTGAAGATAATACGGCCGATGACAGCCGAAGCTTAAAGCAATCATTGTCAGCAGCTTGACAGATGATTCAGTGGGGGTAACTTAAGCACTTTTGACGAGCGAGCGAGTTTTTATCGTGTGTGGGCTAGAAGGGACAATGTTCCATACGGTTGAACTCGTTTTTATTCGTTCGTAACTTTGACGTTTGTTTGGAAACTTTGGACCCAATTTGGATTTGTTTTTTGTGTCGACAGTCAATCGTGGGTTTTTTTGGGGGGTCGTGCACGGAACGTTTTTGTCGTGTTGGGAAGTGACTTTTTTTCAGTTGATACACTGTGCGAGCACGACGTGTGTGTGGATCAGCCAAATTGATAGCTCGTTCTGATTTGTCAATATTAGTAGTCCCAACCTGAAGTTGAGATCTTATTGGTTGAAACCTGTCCCAGGTCGAAATACTAAAGCATGTGCTTGTGTTCCCCGAACCGGTCTGCAAATGTGCATCACTTGGAATCTGTTTATAGCCGGAACTTGGTTACGAGGTATCGACAAGTTTGCGGTGACACCATGTGGATACATTTCTCTTTTGTGAGTGTGTGTGGTTCTTAGAAGAGCCGGGGTTCCCTCACGAGGTTACGAGGGGAACATCTGTATAGTTGGAACTTAGTATAAATGGAACTTTGTGTAATTGCAACATTGATGGCAAGGATTTTGATTTGGCAGCGGATACGCTGTCCTTTCGACTGCATTTATCATTGCAAAAAAAAAAAGAGTTTAGTTTTTAGAACTACATGTAACCAGTTTCTTACACGGAACTCTAGCATTTCAGAAAGCGCACTCTTTCAGGAAAACCAGAAAAACGCAGGCACTAAGGGCGTGAAATCGGAATTCCACTTTTCCATTTTAAGCCATTGTGTGAGGCTCAGGGGGTGAATTTAATGGCACAGATATATAACCTTTTTTTAATCTGTTGAGCTCTCCGATTTTTTTCTCTAGTTACCGGTACATTCTGTTGTAGACGGAGCCATCTTAACCCCTCTCATTGGTTGTGTGGTGTGTGGTGTTAACATGCATAGATTATGCCGATATTTCTAGGCAACTCCAAAAAATCCATTGGCCCACATTTGGATTATGTCACCGAACCGGATCAACCATATTGCTGGCTTCTGTAACTAGGCCAACAATCAATACGAGTCGACAGGACTTGAGGAGTTTCCGTAGTCACCCCCCAGTATTAAAAAAAAGTAGGTTAAACAGCTGCATGATAATATTTTGGTCGAGGAGGGAAAAAAAAAACGAGCGAGAGTTGAAAATTGTGTTGACAATATTTGTCAGGCCTGTCGCGAACGCGTATAGCGTCGCGTTGCTGTTGATGCTGATGAAGACGTGAAGTCTGAATCCTCCCCCCTAAAAAAAGGAAAATCCCCCCCCCGGAATTGTCACTCATCACTCACGGCGAAAAAAAGTTACTCGTCAGCATTTGAATGTGCTCCTCATGAACACGACCTCATCCAAGACGGCTTTTTATTTCCGACTCTTCCATCTCCTCCGTCAGTGTTTTCCCAACGGACAGTTTCCGTTGACTTTATCGACATCTTCCCGTTTGGTTAATTTCGCTCGGCAAACCCATGCACCCAACCCCTCTCCTTAGAAAGAAAAGTCCGGCGCCAACATCTCGCGACTGCCGGTTTTTTTGTTTTTTTTTTCGGTTTTAATTGTTACTGGCAGCACGTCCAGCATTGATTTTGAAGCGGCAGCCCATTTGTCGCCAGCCGTCCCCGCTCCAGTTCATTTGGATTTCACGCCGCCTGGAGTGCCCCTTTAATCATTAACCTGGCCAGCACTTAACACCAATTCGGAGCGGTTAATATTGTACGGACCTAATTTGGCACGGCCCTTCTGGTCCGACACTCGGGGACCGTAGCGTACACTACAGCCCGCACCATGATGTACGCCGTGCAATTTATAAATCATGAAGTTTCTGCCTGAAAGGCTGCGATGTGGAGTAAATCATAAGGTCAGCGCTCCCTTTCCGTCACAAACCCAGTTCAAACTTCTATTTATACACATTTGTTGTTGTTGTTGTTATTTTTCAAAGAACCATTGTTTATTTCTAGAGTAGTATATGTTTAACCGACTCACTGGATCGAATTTCATTGGTTAAACTTGAAGAATGTTTTTTTTTTGCCCGATCGACAGCAGGTTGAATGTACCCCTATTCTTGTCAAAACACAGTGTCCTATATTACTGGGATCCGGATCGAGTATCCATTATAGTCAGCGCCAATTATTTATTAAAGTAAAATTGGATATCTTATTTATTTCATAATACTGTTGATCACTAGAATTTATTTGAGAAGTTTACAGCATTAATTATCAGTTGTAAGGGTTCCATCGACCCACCACTTTTCCTCCGTTTTCCAACACTGTGCACACCACCGACGCAGCAAAACCAGAAGAACTCGGGGGAAAAAGACTTTCGTAAACCGCATTTCACCGGAGCTGTTTATGGAGGAGGGTGGCGACATGAGTGTCTCAAATTGTTGGAACCAAAATGGTGGATTGTGTGTCAGTGCACACGGACAGTTAGCACACAACAGCTTCACGCTGTCATGCACTACACACACAATACACAACCATTTTGGTTCCAAAGTCTGAAGTTTGCGCTACTGTCTCCATATACAGCTCTGCACTTCACAGGCCCACGGAGCTCTTGTAAATTTTAAAAGCAGATGCCCGCCCCTCTGGGCTTAAAATAGCGTGTCCACCTAGTACTGATTATTTCTTCCACATGCACGCGATAAACGTATCCACTTTGCGTAGGGTTGGTTGAGGGCGTTTGTTCGCCTGCTTAATTTGATATGATGGTGTACAGAGAGGTCAAATTTCTGTGCGGAACCAGAGATAATCAATCCTTGACCGGTAGAGGGCGGTGCAGTTTTGTGCCTTCCCCCTTCTGTCCCAGCTGACAAGGACTGATATCTTAGTCTTCCTCTATAACTCGTTCCCTTGAATTTCTTTATGTGCTCCGTGCATTCCAAAGCAAGCCACGAGTGAGGTCTGGGTTAGGCCTGTTCAACGACTGAAGCTCCCGAATAGTACTTTAATCGAAGACTTTACACGCATACACTCATCACTTTCCCCTCCAAATCTAGCCATTCTGGACTGATGCATCGCCCGTCTCTCCGAACTCCAACCGGCCGAGAGCACAGCACCGTCTCTCCACCAATCATTAACCCGCCCCGCTCTTGCCGCGTAACTCCCTCCGACACCTCGCGAGCCATCTCGACTGGACAATAGCGATGCGTGT